TTGGCACTTTAGAAAGCGTTTTGGATTTGGTGGAGGTTAGAGAGGAAGAGAAAACAGAAATATTGACATCCATTTTGAGTTGAAAAATTGGAAGCCCATTAAGTTTTCTTCGTAAATAATCACAGTTAAGAGGTGGATAATTCGGTACCTGTTGAGGCATTTGAATAGCAGGATGGATTAGTGTGAGGATGTGGGATTCTCCTGTGCTGCAGAGAAATTTGGACAGGATCTGCGGTGTCATGCAGGGAGAAGGAAGGGACAGCTTCCCCACCTGTGCTCTCCTGGGTAACTGCTGCCTCTGCCTCTCTCCCCAGCCTTCGTTCTTCGTCGTGTACAACATGGTGACCACAGAGGTTATTGCTGTATTCGAGAATACGTCCGATGAGCTGCTGGAGCTGTTTGAGAACTTCTGTGACCTCGTCAGGAATTCCACCCTGCACAGTGAGGCGGTCCAGTTTCCCTGCTCAGCTTCCAGCAACAACTTTGCCAGGCAGATCCAGCGCCGGTGAGCCATTCGGAGCATGCTTTATACCGTATAGACACACGGTCGCCCCCATCAGCTGAAGGCTAGTATCAAATAACGATGGCAACCCTGAGAAAACCAGTTCCTTTAGTTGCTGGGCGATGCAAGGGTCTGGCTTGTACATGGTTCATCTTGCAGCCTCATGCATCTGATTTTTTATATTCCACAGCATCTGTCTTGTTACAGGAAGGAACAAAGCAGTGGCAATCCAGTGCTTAGAAGAAGGAAGAGGAATTTTGAGGGAAAGATGTTTCAAGCTCTCCTTGAGCAGTAACTCTTCTGGAGGTTATTGAAGTGTTACTGCCCAGTAGCTTAGGTCCCTGAAGATAAGATTTGTCAAGATGCTAGCGTCACCTAATTGGATGTATTTTGCCAAGTGGCATTCTCTGAATTTAGTGTGTATCAAACTGTGTTCTGTTGTGTTTTCTCTAACATCAGTCACAAGCTCGTGGTTCTTGTCAAACTGTGCTAGGAGAAAGGAAACTCATCTGCCTAGACCTATTGTGAAAGCTGAGCACAATATCAAAATAACCTGGGTTTCTAGAATGTGCTTTAACAGTCCAATGTGGTTTTAATGAGGCAGAGTGTGTTATTTCTCTTGGAATATATTTTTATGTGACTCAGGGTGTTTTGTTCTTCCACTGACTTGTTTCACATCATCCAAAGTACTTGGCAATCACTTATGGGCATGAAGCTTCTGTTGATTTTAGGTTGACGTCACATAAGTAAGAGGAAGTTGACGGTGTCTGTAACATTCTAGAGCTGCCTATCAGGAAATCCATAATGCTTAGTGGGAGAGAGAATGAGAGAGCTCACCGCAGACACCCAAAGAGCAGCTCCTGCCTTTTGTTAAAGTAGAGAGGAGAATCTTTTCATCCCCTTGGCTACAAGGGCCTGTGAACATGAGTGTTTAATTTCCATGGCAAAGTATAATAGAGCATAATCCACAGCGAGCTGGCTTTTGTCTGAGTGTTTCTTGTCAAATGGAAATGTTTTACCCTCCTTGATGTATGACATCCATGCAGCTGATCTGACTTCCCATGAGCACATGGAAAGCTCAGATTTTACTTGGAAAGAGAAATCCAGCCTGTGTTAATCTCTCCACCAGGAAGAACTTTCAGCTCACTGTAGTTTCTGAAGAGCTTTAGTCTTCTCGTCAAGGTTCTTCCATGTCTAAGGTTTCTCTCTTTACGCATTTAAAATACAGCAGCTAGAGAGAGGAGGATTCTGAAGTCAACATTAAGGGCTCAACTGTTACCATGAAACCCTCTGGCTTTTGCTTATGCTGTTTCCAGGCTTCATGGTAAAACTTGGATTGACTGATAAGCTGCTAATCCATCTCTCCCTGTTTCTGATCCTGTTCATTTCCTGTACTGCAGAGCAGCTGGGGCCAGACCTTGTGAGTAGGCACAGTCTTGTCCTTCTGTCAGTTTGGACATTCAGAGCAGAAACAGTAATGATGAGGGAGGATAAAAAGGTCACCAGAACTGGTTGATGCTTGAATCACTGTGATACATCTTTGGAAATGAGCTGTTTAGTTCTTACACTGCTGCTGTTTTTCTTTCCCTGTCAGTTTTCCTCCTTAGTTTATTTAAGCTGTGCTGTTCACCTGTGGCCTTTGTGAATAAAACCTGTTTCTTGGTTTGCTACAGGTTCAAAGACACTATCGTGAATGCCAAGTATGGAGGGCACACAGAGGCCGTGCGGAGGCTGCTGGGCCAGCTCCCGATCAGCGCCCAGTCGTACAGCGGCAGCCCATACCTCGATCTCTCCCTTTTCAGCTATGATGACAAGTGGGTGTCAGTCATGGAGCGGCCCAAGACCTGCGGTGATCACCCTATAAGGTATGGAACAGGTCAAGAAGCTGTATGTGAGAACAGTGCGAGAGTAACTCTAAATCACCTCTGCCATGTGGTGTCAAATATGCAGAAAAGGGAGTAGATAGAGGCATTTCTCTTATGATGTCCTTTCAGCAGAGGGTTTATTTCAGCAGTCCCACAAAGCTTGGCTGCTCTCCTTGCAATAACTGTTTTATCTTGTAGGTGTGGGAGGGCTCTTTAGGTCTTCTTGCTGAGCTGCCCTGGGGAAGGTTTGGGTGCTGAAGCCTGAGCCTTTTCCATATGAATGCTCTTGTTCTTCCTCCTCCTCTTGCAGTCCTGCCATTGTGTTTGGGCTGCAGAGTGATATGGTTCTGGATGCCTGCTTTCCTGTGCCGGAAGGATCCCTTTTGAGCACGTGGGTTTAACTGGCAAGGATGATCTGGTTTGTCCTGTGAATAAAATAGCAGCTGGGTTAGGTGTTATTCAGAATGCTTGTGGTATTGATTTAGCTATTTTCAGACATCCCTTGTTTACAGTTCTCACCCTGGGAGCTGTACTCCTCTTCATACCCCCCTTCTTTCTGTGATCTATAGGAAATTTGTTTCGGTAGTAGGAGGTTTAGCCAGGTGTAAGGGCCATTCTGTGCCTCTTCTGCCTGAGTCTTTGATGCTGGCAGAAGGAATAAGTCTGAGCTTGGGAATAAGGAAGTTTGCAATGCTTCTTGCAGAAACCCCAAGACTATTTATTTCTTTTTGTTGGCTGCAGCCGTGGCTACAAGTACTAGTGGTTAAAAATCCAACATCTCTGACCTGAAAGGCTCAAAGAGGCTGAGTTCTCCAGGCAGAATAATCTTTCCACTTACAGTACTGCAAAAGCAAACCTATGCTCTGAAAACAAAGAGAGCCTTCAATGCCGAAGTGCTTTGTTCAGTGACTGCACACATGTTGGGAGCTCAGGCAGCCTAGGGAGACCATTCTGGCTGGTTTCCCAACTTTATTTTCATCAATGCATTCTCAAAAAGTGGTTTCATGTCTCCCCTGGCCCTGACTCAGGTGGCGGGGAACCTCTGATTATTCCTGAGCTCTCAATTCCCAAATTATGTATATTTAATTGATTTTTCTGCCTGTATGATTTGGTTTGATCTCCAGCTCCCATGTTATCTGCAGAGAAAAGCCTGCCCTTTCCCTCTTGTCATGCTTGACGTTGGGAAAACTTGCAGGGCGGCAGTTGTCTGCCAGCGCCAACCTGCGTATGGCTCCCGCAGACAAAAGGGAGCAAAACCGCAGTCATTTGCTGCGGTTACGTCTTTGTAGTAAACAAAACGAAGTGCCACCTTCCCTCCCTCCCCTGAGCAAACCGGTGTTTCAGAGCCAGAGCTTTTAAAGCTCAAAGCTGTGCAGAGTCAATTAGGACTTGAATAGGGCCTCGGAGCAGTGGGGCTCCTGGTTTTTGGAAAGTAAGCAGAAGACGAGGCACTAGCCTTAACCATTCAGTAGCTGAAATAGTGCTGCTGTTTTTCTCACATGCAAAACAAAGGGATTAATAAAATAATGCTGCTGCCTGTTGTGGTTAGAGGGCTTGGAAATGAGGGGCCACAGGATTTGTAATGCAAGTCCTATAAATGGCTGGAGTGCAAAACACTTCAGTAGCTAAGGGTGTTATAATCTGTGTGCAGTTTCCTGGCACGACGTGCAAGATAGGAAGGCCTCCGTGCCTTTTACACATCAGTTTCAGCGACTCTGCACGCTGTGTCCTTTTAACCCTTAGTGCCTTTCTGCATCCCAGAAGGTTCAACTCTCGTCTCTGGCTGCTTGAGAGACCAGGGATGGTTTGCTCTCGGGAGGGAAGGACTTTAGGTTCCCCATCACCTCCGTCTTCCAGTATCTTTTCAGGAGGCTTGAAGAGATATTCACTGGGTGAAATGATGGCACTTGTGAGGAAGAGGCTCTAACACAGCCTTACCTATAGTGGGGGGTCTCTAAAATCCATCTAGATGGCTAATAAGGAGCCATTTAACCAAAAAATTGGTTGCAGATAAATCTTCCATTTTCATACTGTTTGAAAAGGCTGGTCTTGCTGTTTCTGTTGACATACAATTTTATATTGCAGTGCCTAATTTATCCCAAGAGTGAGAGCCCATGGAAATGGCCTCTGATTGCAGAGCACTTTTAAAAATAGATTTAAAAGTACCAGACTGAGCACATCTTTGAGATTACAGGGAGCTTCATCTTGAGTAGTAAATTATTGTGAATTGGGGAGAGAGAGGAGCAGACAGGGGACTGTGCTTTATTTAAAGAATGACCCTCTGCATACCCAGCCTTGTGTAGGAGGGAAAGGGCTTTTTGAAAAGCCAAATACCAAGATTGTGACTCTCTTGCTGGGTTCTTGTGTGCAATTTTCAGGCAGGGCTGGCTGGCACTTTGATTCAGAGGAAAGGAGAGGAGAGTGGCCCTCCAGGAGGAACATGAGGTTCTCAATAGGCTGTGTTGTTAAAATGTGGAGTATGTCTGCTCCTGAAACAGCATTGCCTGTATCTGTCATCACCCATTCTTCCAGGCTGAGAGCTGAGTGCATCGTATTGCTGGCGGGGGGGAAATGTGCTCTGATATTAAAAGCATTCTGTGAGTTAAAACCAGAGGAAAATGCAAAATACCCACATGTACTAAGTGATGGTGGAAAAGGAAACAGCTGGGAGGCAAAATGGCAATTCTGTGCCCGAAAGTGAAAGAACGGAGAAAATGGTCTAGGGCACTGAGACAGCTTCAGGGCAAGAACTTGAGTTAGAGCCCAGCTGCTTTGTGAAGATACCACATCCCAGAAACCTCCACTACCACGTTCCAGAAACCTCCACCAAAGTCTTGGGGAAAGTGGTGTCATCGCAGAGGGTACCCTGTTCCCACAGCAGCACAGGACAGTGGTGTTACCTGGACTTATATTGGTTACACAGAGTATGCAGAGAAGGTTAAAGAAGCAAAGAGCTTCCGAGACTTGCCTGTCTCTTCAGCACTGTTTGCCTCATCCCCTCGGCAATGTTCCATTTGTGCTAAAGCTCTGTTCCAGAGCTCACCTGTTTGGACACACAAATGAGCTTGACCCACAGGCAGGTTTGTGGGTGACAGCAGAAGGACACAAGGTTTTCCTTGACCTCTGCTCTTGCTGTGATTGTTGAATGCTATCCACCAGGTACTTCCTGCCCAGCCTATCTTGTGAATGCTTTTTTGATGGAAATCTAAAAGGAATTGCAAAGCCTCGCTTGAACTGTAAAATACAACTTGGTGCCCTTGAGCAGAATTGGATCCAGCTGTTCACCTTCCTTGACTGAATGGGGATGTAGTGGGGCACAAGAGCAGCAGCGTAAAGCCTACCTGGCAGCAGCAGAGGAAAGGGGTGGCCTTACACTGAGTGAAGGTCATTGCTAAGGGAAGTGAGCTCAGTTCCATACGGTATATCTGCCTTAGGGATCCAGGGGAGCAGCTTGCATTAAGAGAGGATGGAGAGCCAGCACAGGTGGGGCCTGGACCAAACTTATTCCCTCTTGTGAAGTCAGCTACGTCCACCAAAATGACAGGCAGAGTTCTCTCACTGATGACACTAAAATGAAGTCAAGCTTTTCTAGACAGTGGAAAACTAGCTGCCCCGGGAGGGACTTTCCTGTGTAGCCAAGAGCCAGACACCCAGCTGAGGACCTCTTGTCCCTGAGGGAGTACCAGACGTTGAACAAGGCGCTTGTCTCTGTGTGTGAAGAGCCCAGATGGCAAAGTCAATAGTCAGGAACTGCCATAATTGACTTTCTCTTCTTTTCAGATTTTACGCTCGTGATTCTGGCCTCCTGAAGTTTGAGATCCAGGCAGGACTCCTGGGGCGACCCATCAATCATACAGTGCGACGTCTGGTTGCGTTCACCTTCCACCCCTTTGAGCCCTTTGCCATCTCGGTGCAGCGCACTAATGCAGAGTACGTGGTTAACTTCCACATGAGGCACAGCTGCACATAGGACGACACATAGCTGGGCTGGCTGCTCTCCTTGGGTCTGGGCCTGTGCCACAGACACACCAAAGCCAGACACTCACGCCTTCTAGGAAACCAAACCGTCGCTCATGTCAAGAAACCTGATCTGGGAGCTCCTACCAGCCGACATCTCGCAGGGCCCTCAGCTGTGGAAAGATGATCTGCTCAAGTTAGACCTGCGAATGTTTCTTCTGACCCTGTTTGTACTGCGGAGGGCCCCGCTGCATTAAGCGCTGCTGTCGTTCCCTATTTCTGTTGATGAACAAAGTGTAGCTGAGGTTCTTTTCCTGGTTTCCCAGAGGCACGTCCGTTTTTTCTCCTGTTGTAGGTCTTAGGATGGCAAAGATGGAGTTGGCAACACATTTGTGGAGTATTCCCTTCTGCGCTGGTGCTCTTCTACCTTGTTGACACAAGCAGCTTGTTGTAGAGGGAATGGTTGGAAGCCATGGGGAGGGCTTAGAAATACAGCTACCTGTGTTTGTATCTTCAGTGTTACTAGGGAAATGAAATCCTGTTCTCATCCACACAGTCTACTCATGTGATTTTAATATGCCAGAGGTCAGGAAAAAAAGGTGTGAGAAATCACTGCAGTTGAGAGACATGAGGTGCATTCCTGACTCTTACGCAAGTCACTTAATCTTTGTGCCTTAGTATCTGTAAAAGCTCCTAAGTGAAAGGTGGTGTGTTAATACCCAAAAGCCAGGGCAGCTGGCTGTGTCTGTAATGCACGAGGAGGTGGGCACGGAAAGAAGATGGGTGGCTGGGAACAGCAGCTCCTTGGTCACGTCGGAAGGACTTTTCCGCAGCATGAGGGTGAATCCTCATGGCCATCTGCAGGTGCTGCTGCTGAGGGGAAGGGAGACCCAGCTGCTGGCACCCTCCTGTATGTTGGAGTACGAGAGTGGAGAATTACTAGCATTTGGGTTTCCCCAGGAAGGAGGGAGGAGACCTGAATTAATGTGCATTGCTGCAGGTTTGCAGTTAGGAGATGAGTTTGTTGACTTAGGTTGCTTACCTATCCCTGTTCGATACGCTGTTCTCTGTGAGAACCCCATTTGCTGTTCCAAGGCTTCAGAGCACAGCTGGCTGGTGCGTCGATGCTGACTGAACCACTGCAGTGTTTATGCTGCCGATAAAATAAGCTCCTGGGGGTAGTGTTACCTGCCACTGTGGGCTGGTGAGGATGCTGGCCTGCCCTTCTCTCTTAAAAATGGAGTTTTTGGTTGTAGGCCAACATTTGGGTTTTTCTGCACATGGGCTGGTTTATGACTGTGTGCTGCCAGGCAGTGCAACCATCCCAGCACCATGAGGTGCTCCGTCGGAAGCTGGAGCCTGCTGTTGTCCCATTCCCGTGGGAGTTGCAGAGGGGGCATTAGAAAATTGGTGCTTATACATGGGAGACCCTCTACTTTAAATGACCCTGTGGGTGTCTTGTTTGGACCAAAATGAGCTGTGGGTGAGGTGTTGTGGCCACATGCCTGTGAAGAGCAGTATTGAAGTCATGTGTTCATTTTGCATGGTAATGCATAGGAAAATAACTGTGTGGGTTGTTGGTGCCTGCTTATGGCATGAATAGCGGCCCTCGTAATGGAGGGTGCCCTGGGGTCCTTGAATCAGCCTTTACTCTCTGTCTCATGGTACTTCTCTCCTCTCCTGGCCTTGCTAAATGTATTTCTAGGGTAAGACATTGTGTTTCACTGCTCTTTTCCTGGTGTTTGCACTGTTGGTTTCTCAGGTCTGTCAGGAGCGACTTCAGGTCAGAAGACTGCTAATAGAGGAGGTGTCAGGCAACACGTGCTTTAGCTCCAGGTTCCTCTCCATCTAATAACACTATTTGTTAAGGTTTTAGGTTTTTATCCTGTGATCCGTTCCTCAAACATTCAATTAAAGCTCCAAGTGGAGAATCATTTGCACATTGTAGATCATGGATTTACCTCCTTCTGCACCACTCTCACATTTGTTCACACTTCCAGTATGAGGCTTTTTTTCCAAAGCTCTCAGCAGCTCCATCCAAGACTGGGTTTACTCCTTGGCGTCACAGCCTGGGAGGTCAGAGCTTACTAAAATAGCTGTCAGATCTCCATTTAGATATTTTCTGGTGGTAAAAATATAAACCATTTCAGCAGTCAGGGCTTTTGCCGGATTCAGGCTGTCCTGTGTGAAGCAGAGAGCATGGCACGGATTGTTGGACTTGGGGCTGAGAGACCAGAGATCTGTTCCTAGCTCTGCTATTAAATTGTTCTGTGACTGGGGGCAAATCTCTTCCTGTTCCAGCTGGTGTTTTCTTCTCTGTAAATGAGGCCAAAACCCTATTTTCAGCTTTTGTAAAACACTTTCAGATTCATGGATAAAAAGTGCTGGATAAGTGCTAAGTATTTTCTTACTATGTTTGCAGACAAACTGATTGATCATTCTGGGTACTAATTGCCTTGGAGTAGCATAGCAGATCCTCTGGTCTTGGCTGCTGCATTTTATATCTACAACAGAGTTAATTTTATTACAGAAATGTATTGAAAGGAAAGTCTCTCATGCTTGAAATTTTGACTCTTCTATTTAAGAAACAAAAAGTGTGTGTGTGGTGGGGAGGGTGGGAGGAAAGGGGATATATTTTCTACCTGATATTTTTCCTAGGCTAGGATGAAGATTTGTTAGCAACACAAGACAAAAGTGGAATAAACAGAATTTGCTTTAAGAGCCTGATTTATTGTCGTCTTCTTCCAAAAATCTTAGCGCTGCAGATGGGAATCCCGTTGCTCAGAAGAGGTGGCAGCGGTGTGCCTTGGACTACACAGGCATATTGCATGTGAGTTTGCTGCCTCTTCCTGGCACCTGGAGTACCAGTGTGCTTAAGGATGTTCCTGCCGGAGGCATTTCTGTAGTTACCGCAGATTTCTCTGAGGGAGGAATCCTTGGCCTTCAGTTACATTTTTTTTCCCCTTTGTATGTTATTACTAGCCCAACTTGTATTCAGAGACTCTTCCATTTATAGCATGTCTAACCTTGTGGCCATTTTCTGATGATGCTCCATGATCAAGAGATGGAAACTGAATGACACACCTTGCTTGGCAGAAGAGCCATCACCTACCCACTTCTTTTCGGTTGGGCTAAGGCACTCGTATTTTCGGCTGCCTGCTGCTCCCAGCCGTGATGCAGCTTTGCAGAACATTGTGGCTGAAAACATGCGGACGGGACCTTCCCAAAGTCTGGGATCCCCTTGTAATCCACTGCTGCTCTGTAACAACCTAGCAGCATCCCTGTTTGTGTTAGTTCCTCTAAGCATCTGCCTCTTGGGTATGAAAGCCACTTTCCTTTGAACCCTTCCTCCATTTTCGTGTGTGCAGTTCTCTGCTGTTTTCCTTTGGAGACCTTGAGCGTGCCAGAAAGCTCTTGAGCCTGTGGCTTTTCAGATAGGCACTAAGTGACAGGGAGATGCTTGACTTGGAAACCATGTTTGACTGGCAGCAGAATCCTATTATTTTATTACTTCTTGTGCTGCCTTTGCTTTTAAAAAAAAGTATTAGAAGCTTGCAATATTTCTTATATAAACTGCATTAGACGGCGAGCCACAGAAATCCCATTAGAATCAAACCTATGTATCCATTAATGGTGTGTCCCTACTAAAGACTCCTTTCAATTAACCTTCCAGCACTGAGTGGCTGGACCTGATTTAGCTCCCTGATGTTCTTGGTGTACTTAGGACCTTCCTTTTACTTGGGTGCTGGCATCTATTATGCTTCCCTTGGTCCTTTTTGACCCAGCTAGAAGAATCAGATTTCTGATGCTTTAAGAAGTCTCTTCATCTTTCTTGTTTGTGTTCTCTGTTTTGCTGCTTTTCTGCCAGCTTTTCCTGCAGCATCTCTCAGTGCTGTGGGCAGAGAGATGGTAAAGGCTGGATGGCAATGGGACATGTGGCTCTCCGACAGCTTTCATCCTTGTGTGAACCCTTATCAGATAGGTGCACACTGCAGGGCAAATAGATGGTCCGGGACAGGATTTTGTGTGTTTGCTTTTGCCTTGCTTTCCTAGTTTCAGAGCCCAGGTTGCTGATGTGCCTGAATCCTTGTGCTTTCCTGTCTTGTTACATGGTTGTAAAAGCTTTTCTGGCCAAATACTGCTCAAGAGGAGGGAATGGTGAAAGGGCTTTTATTTTTTTTTTCTTTTTTTCCTTGCTCCAGGGCTGTGGAGGACGTGGGCTGAGCTGTGCAAAGTCAGTCATTGTAGCAGTAACAGCCTGGCACTACCTGCCCACCAGGCTGACTGCTCATCAGGCAGCAGCGTCCCCTGCTAGAGCTGTTTGCTGGCTGAGGTCTGATTTGCCTTTGTTTCTCTCGGGGAAGAGCTGTACTTACTGCGTAAGGAAATGAGTTCTCAGAAAAATACTGATGTGGGAAAAACCCTGAATTGCACATTCTTTTCCTGATGTTTTGACATAAAAATACCGCACCGGTTTTAGACTAGCAATCTGGAAACCAGTAATTCGTGGGCAGCTATCGTGGTCCTGCATGCGAGGAGAAGCGAAAAGGGGCACAGTGCCCCTAGCCTCTGCTGCTTAGGGCTGTGCTGCAGCATCTGGATAACGTGTTGGCCCTCGCTTGGTTAACAAGGAGTGGAGGACATCGTACGAGCCCACAGGCTTTGCTGCATTTGTGCAGAGGTAATTTTTTACTATGTCTCTTGTTTCTTTCCTCCCAGAAGTCAAATCCTTTCCTAGGGCACCTTCTAGCTGTTGCAGTTTGCTGGCAGGGTGATTGCTGTCTGTTCTTGGTTTTGCCAGGATGACAAGCACACCTGAAAATTTGAGGATGGTTTTAGGGGAGCGTGGCAGGGAGATGCTCAGTGGGTGCCCAGGGCCCTTGGCAGGCCAGAGGGAGGAGGAATGCAGGGAGAGATACCTCCCAGGGGAGCTTTGCTAGAGGAGGAGCGGCACAGCACTTGGCCACTGTGGAAGAAAATCCTAGAGAAACTGCAACAAGTCAATGGAAAGTC